TATGAATTCCAGAGCATTCAATGCAAAGCACAATTCCCCAGTTAGTGCTTGCCCAGGTTGGGTCTAAAAAATCAATAACGTAATATATTAAAAAATAAGGCAGGACTCAATCATACACACCAATTTATTTAAGGCTTTTTAAATTTTGAAATCTTAACAGCAGTTTTCCTATTGTATCTAGCAAGTAACGCACTGCATCTGTCTGGGGAGTGTGATGTCCAATAGCTCTGGGCTAAAGAATTTGGCAGTCAAGTTATTGGATTCTATTCCTTGCTTGCCGGATGAGCAAGTGAAGTATTTTTGGGAAAATCAATGAGGAGATACATATTACTACATCAGTAAGGGACACAAATATTGTTAAGAAATAGCTTAATAAACCATGCTGGTAAGAAATTTTGGAGGGCTACTGAAAATGACTTTCAGGCTAGTAAATCAAGATATTTATGTAAGACATGTACATTGAAGCTTGTCCAACCCAAAAGTTGTTGTTGTTGTTGTTGTTTTCTTGCATCCTGGGAGGGAGAATGGGTAGGGCTGAAAAAAAGTGCCATCTGGTCATCCAAGAAAAGTATATTTTCCTTCTGGGCAAGTAGCGTTCATGCATACTTGCCCACTGGGCAAGGGGATCAGGCAAGTTGTCTGCCATCCAAAGCATTAAAAGAACAAACTAAGACTTGCCCAGGACAAGCAAAATTTGTGAGCTACTTGTCCTAAGGGCAAGCTGGAAGACAATTTTTTTTTAACCCTGAAATGGGGTGAGGCAGATGGATGAAGGTAGTTCTAACAGCTCTAACCAAAAACAGATAATTTACATTGCGAGTAATATTGTTAGCACTCCATTTGACTTCTGAATGGACAACATTAGAGAACATCTCAGATTACTGTTAGCACATATTTACAAATGTTTTAATTTGAAGGTAAGAAGAGAGGGTGGTCATTATTATTTTTGTTCTTACCAGGATTTCCACAGTCAGCACACTTATCATTACCAGCCACAGCTCTGATGACTTCCAGATTATATTTACTTCAAAGAAAAACAACATTATATGTTATTAGGAGCTATAGAGTCATTCAGAGTCACAGAATTGGAAGTTTACTGAGGTTTGCGTTATTTTATAGTGAAATCTTAAACATTTATTAGACAATTTCAAAACTTGTGGACAGAAAACATAAGTAAAAAACATAAATCAAGCATTATTAAACTGAAATCTGAAAATTATTCAATGAAGTTAATAATGGATTAGCTTAGTCATGCTTCAAACACCACGCCCAGGAGAATAAACTACACATAGCAAATTCGAAAAAGTTGTTATGACAATTACTTAACATTAATTATTATAGGTACATTATATTCAATTTGTTGAGATGCAGTGAAACTCTGCAGTGGTACATGTACACCATCAGTGAAGAATTTCTTGGAGTGAGTCTTAGATGTTTCTCAAGCAGGGGAGAACATGAGGAGAACATGAAGGGAGTAGTGAGTCTACTGAGGCACAGGGAGGGTGGAGAAGGGGTTTATAGTTAGCTATAAGTGGTGATGGTAAAAAAGAAGGTACTCGGTCCAACCTTGGTCCAGAGATTTTGTCTAAAGAATCCATACTTTTGCTCTTTCTGCCTGATCCCAGTGAGTCACTCTGTAATAAAATTTCACAATAGTTGGTTGGGAAATAGTAGCCAGGCAAACCCCAGGGCTTTTAGCAAATAATTATATTTTATTTCTATGTGAAATACATTGTGTAGCTTATCATAAGGTTTACGTATGACTAAATAGTTTCTTTTGTTTCATTCACTCAAGCCTGAAAGCCAGGTACTGTGTGAATTTTAAATGAAATTTGTCTCTTAGTTCAATCAGCAGTTAAGCAGAGGTCAAATGAATGCATAAATGCTCAAATAAGCCAGATTTTATGTATTCACTAAGGTCCTGTAAGTATTATATAGCTTTCTCCTTTCAAAACCAAATGTTAACTAATGATATGAACTCTATGTCAGAGATATCAGTATTAATTATAGTTCCTGCTTGCAACCTTAGCTTTCAATTATTGTATGCTGGAAACAGCAGATGTATAAAATTATACCTTACAGTAATCCCACCTACCTCACTACTGTCAGTTTCTACTCTGGTTGTATTGTTAAAAGCCTTGTCAATGCTGGCCTGCAATTCACCAAAAAAAAAAAACACACTCAAAACCTTACAAAATCAGGTAATTAATAACTTATGTGCCACTACACAACTTTATGTACAACAGATAAGAATTGCACTAATATTGGCATTGAAAAACAAGAAGAAGAAGGTTCATTCTGTAGCTAGAGATATGGAAAAGGAATTCTCACTAGTTAACTGTGACACTTGCTTTCTGATGAGTTAACATACCTGCATAGCTTCCATCCATTCATCTCGTAATGAGTCACTGTCTGCTTGAAGATACCATGATCTGTAAAGCAGTTTAAACAGTTTTTTTAATTTCCTTTTATTATGTAGTGCTCTCTATTCTCTACTCTTTTGCAGAGGCCTAGTGGCCTCATGTTTAGTGTACTTGTTTCTGGATTGAGTGGTCCAGGTTCTAGCTCTGGCTACGGACATTGTGCTGTGTTCTTGGGAAAGACACTTTACTCTCACAGTGCCTCTCTCCACCCAGGTGTTTAAATTGGTATTGGCACACTTACACTGGGAGGTAACCCTGTGATGGACTAGCTCCCATCCAGGGGGGAGTAAAAATACTACTGGTCACTTCATGCTACAGAAACCGGGATAAGCTCCAGCCTGATGGCTTGTATGCAGACTTAAACTACCTTTATAAGTACTCTCTACACATGCCGATATCACGTATTAATTTAATCATTAGTCAAGTGATGAGTTCATGCGCATATACATCTGTGGCAATGCAAAATATTGGCGAGCACTATTTAGCCCTTAATGAAGTCTTGGTTTTTCCACTTCATGTGGCCTTGTGGGCTCAGACGAGAAGTAATAATAATATAATAATTATTATATTATTTATTCCGGTCTGAGCCCACAAGGTCACAGGAAGTGAAAATAATTATTATTAATAGTAATTCAAGCCTTACTTTGTTGGTGACACAACTTCAAAGATGAATCGTCTTTCTACTGCTTCTTCTGCAAGCCTAAC